GTGCTAATACTAAGTCACACGTTCAAGTGTAAAGAGCTAGCGAGGAGCGGAGCTCCTTGAGCAGGCCTGTATTAGCATAGCTCTGGCTAGACCAGAAACCGATTGCGACCTGTAGGTATAGTCCGCTCGTGTCTGAAGGTATCATACAAGCTACTAGAATATAGTTTTCCAGTACTTAGTGTAACTTGGCAAATTGTACAGAGTGTTGGCTGTATTCGAAGATCAAGTCGCGTTATTATTACTTATTACTTACTAACTACTAATCATATATTTTCCACTGTATTTCACTATCTAGGGCGTACCTATTATAATTTCTTATTGTATTATATATTCGAGCCGTACCTATTGTTATATTCAGAGCAATTATAGTTAATTTACTTACTTGAATAAAAGATAATTTTAGTTTGATACATTAATGTTGGATTTCACTCCTTAACCGCACACCACACGAACCTATAATCCCAAATTTCGTTCATACGAGTCGCCTTCTTGGGGAACCGCTCTCCCTATACGTCGGTGCAGTGACGTACCTATCACTGGGTCGTTACAGTATATAAATTACGAATTTTCCAACCGAGTATTATCAAAGTGTCAAAAGAAGGAGTGGTTTCCAAAGCATAAAATTAGTGTTATTGGAATTTACGTGTTAAATACTGTTGATAAGATCGGATCGTGAAATAAATGTACATGGATGTGTATTTGGATTAATAGATTTAATATCATAATAGCATAATAATAGCATACAATCGATATTTTTGGATTCTACACATTAGATACTACTGAAGTGTCAAAAACAGTTAAAAATTTAACGTCTCTCAAAATAAAGTTCAACCAATGCTCGTAAAAAGGTGCCTGATTTGTTGTCTATAATGTCAATAATGTTATTACAATAATAATAGTGTGTCCAATGTGGAAAAGGAACATTCTTGAAAATGCGTGTGTTTTTTTCAGTTTTTATTATTCCATTATGTCATTTTTATAACGACTTATCTACCATGATAAGCACCTCTCCTCGTTCAATAAATAGAAAGTACTCCAGATTATCAGTAAAATAAAATGTTGTTAATATACTACATTTTCGGACTACCGTTAATTAATATTATCTAGTATAATTGTTAAAGATAATTTCGTGAATGACATTGTAGAAGATCTCAGGTTATATTTACCAATAACGATACGATTGACTCTCTTTTCCAACGTTCTGTCCATAAATCTTCTTTGACAGTTTGATTATTAGCGGTAAACTCCGCATACAACACCGTATTCACTTTTATGCAGGAATGATTTTGGAAAACTTCCGCTAGACGTTGGAATACTATTTTTCTAGCATCTTCCAAAAAGTTTAGTGGTTCAATATGCTCGGTGTTGATTATAATTCCTGTAGTTATCCGGTTATGGAAAGCTGATTCTACATCCTCCCAGATAAGAGATGATGATGATGCATGTGATTCAGCATCTGTTCTCCTTTGACCTTCGCCTATTTTTACAGATACGTGTAACTCTGCTCTTAACGATTTAAATCTCGTTATCCTGGCTGTTAAACTATTCTTCAAACCAGTTGATAAGTCCTTTCCGAGTTGCAATCGCTCTATCATTAAATCAATGCATTGATTGCATTGCACTAGACATGCGTTTCCGTCGTCGTTACTACTTATGGCTGCAATACGTTGTGTCAAAAGTTGTTCTATACAAGCAAGTTCGTTTATTAATATTGCCTTTTGACCACTAGGATGATCATTGTCACGATACAATACCCTATGCAAGGCGTCGATTCTTTCTTTGTATGCTTCTATATCTTGCCATCCTTCGAATGATAAATCGTCTCCCATTTGTAATCGCTCGTCTATCAATTCGAGGCATTGGTCACATTGCATCAAGCAATCACAACGCTCATCTTCGGTATTGATGTTTATCGCCCGCTGAGCCAATAATTCGATAATGCGTTCGAGTTTCCGCAGTAACGTGGCCTCCATTTCTCTTTTCCACAAACGCATTAAATATCCTTGCACTTCTAATTGTCAAACTACATATGACGCACATTGCCAATTTTCTCCCATTTTATTAAAGTGGGGCTGTCATCGACGAAGGTGTTTAATTGCTGTTCACTCTGCAACGTCAACAAAAAACACCGCATTTCCAAGACGTAGAAAAACTCGTTCAAGGTCATGAGCAAAACCTCTACCTTCTATAGTCGCGAATTGCAGCGTCAGATTTGCTGCGCCAACAAAAAATCACATTTCCAAGGCATAGAAAAAGTCGGTGGGGCCTTGTGTCGTCCTTCGATAAGACAGAAATAGTTCAAGGTCATGGGGGTGGGGTATCATATTTCTGCTGATGGTTGTGGGGGTTGTCTTAGGGTGGGTATTTCTGCTGAGGGGGTTGTTATGGGGAGGGGGTTGTCATAGGGTGGATATTTCTGCTAAGGGGGTGGTTATGGGGCGGGGGAGGGGTGGGGCTTGTCGGGGGGTATCATATTTCTGCTGACGGTGGTGTCAAATTTCAGTTCAAGGTCATGGGGTGTGGGGGTAGCACATTTATGCTGACGGTGTCAAATTACTGCTGAGTCAACAAAAAAAAAGGTGACGCTAGTGATTTGGAATCCGCATATAACAACTACTTTGCCCCTTTAAGCGTATAAACAATTGCCTGTAACTTTTAAACTATTCAATTACAAACGAAAGGGAAATCACAAAAAACAACTACAAACGATTCTGCATTAGCTGTGTAAGGGGTACGAGGCCGCGAAACCGCGGGCCCCGCCAGCGCGCGCTAGTACCGGCGCCACCGATAGGTGGCGACCGCGCGCACCGCGAACTCGCGAGGCAACTGGCCTCGCGATTATTGATATACCGGGCCGCGAGGCGATAGAAGCAGATCTATCCTCCGAAGCAAGTCTCACGACGAGCGACAACGAGATATGATCAACTTCATTTTTGGAATCCGAACACTCCTCCAGCAGCGTTCGGCAGGACGGGTTGTGTCTACGGCCGTCCTCCGATACAGTCCGCTGTCTCCTTGGTCACGGCCGAGAGAGTTCTCTCTCGGCGGCTTCCCGACCGCCGGACCGGGCGTATACGTCTCTACGGCGTCCACCGGATCACGGTCTTCTTACTGCCTGGGTACAGGACGGGTTGTGTCTACGGCCGTCCACCCATGAAGGCATCAAACGACCTACCCAGCATATCCCGCTATCTCCGCCGCTCCGAACTGTAGAAAACGCGACCGTGCTGCGCCGTAACCGTCTCGCGACCACCGATAATATTACCGCAAGATTAAGTACCGCGCCGTAACCATAAGTAACCGTAGACATAAGGAACCGTAGATATAAGTACCGCGCCGCCGTAGTCGTTAAGTCACTTAAATTGATAGGACCCCAGGACGGTAGTCTCTAGTTAGCTTGTACTTACAGTTAAGGAAATATAATTATTATTTTACCCACTAACCATCGACTTTTATTCATTCGTTCGCCTGAACCCCGGACTTACCGGCTTAGCCGGCAAACCCCCGGCGGTAACCCGTCACAGCTGGATAAAACGGATATTAAAAATCTTGAGAATTGAAGAAGTTGCCTCTTATGCGTATAAACATTCGCCTGTAACTTTTAATCTATTCAACTACAAACGAACGGTAAATCACAAAAAACAACTACAAACGATTCTGAATTAGCTGGATAAAACGGATATTAAAAATCTTGAGAATTGAAGAAGTTTCCTCTTATGCGTGTAACGTCCCAGAATAGGTACGTCACTGCACCGACGTATAGGGAGAGCGGTTCCCTTAGAAGGCTGTAAGGAAATAGATAGAGAGAGGCCGCGAACTCGCGAGCCCCTGCGGGCCCGCAACCGTACCACCGCCGACTCGCGCCTAGTACCGACGCCGACAACAGGTGGCGACCGCGCGGATCGCGAACCCGCGAGGTAAACGGTCTCGCGAGGAGCTATATACCGCGGCGCGAGCCGAGTCAAGCCAGATCGGTTCTCCGAGCGTATCCCACTGAATGCGACACAGCGAGACTGATCCTTATTTTTGGAATACCTTACACTCTCTCCTCCAGCAGTGTTCGGCGACGAGACGCATTTGCGACCGCCGCCAAAAGCATCACTGTTCCGCCAGCCACTGTTGGGGATACCCCCAGACGGCTTCCTGACCGCCGGGCCGGACCATACGCTTGCCGGATATCCGCCGGACCGAACCGCTGCACCGCACCGAATCGCCGGCCCGTGACCGCGCCGAACCGAACCGCGCCGTTAGTTCATAAGCCATAGGTATAAGCCGCGTAGAGGTAAGCCGTTAGTAATAAGAGCGCGATTAGACTGTAAGGAACCCTAGGGCTGTAGGATAAGTGCTTGTACATATATCATTAGAATAAAGCCCCTTTATACACATACACGCTCGTCTCAGCTTACTCATTCTCGAGTCCCCCGGCCAACCGACTGAGTCGGCATCCACCGACGGGGATAAACCGTCACAAGGCGACTCGTATGAAGTACTAGCTGGTTACCCGGCCTTCGCCCCGGAGTACATGTAGGGCAAATAGGTGATAGCGTATATTGCATTTAACGCCAATAGATTTCCGCATCCCCCTTGAGGTTCTATTGTGAATGCGTTTTTTTTTTTAGTGGTTTCCGCATTAGACTTATTCCACTATAAAGAAAAATGGCTTAATACTCATGCTTTTCTCCGGTATTTAATTGCTTTTAATCCATTTTATCTCCAATGAACTTCAGTTGTATTGCGTGCCTATTTTTTGAGATCATATGGTAGATGTTTAAAGTTATTTATGGTTTTGTGATATAATAGTACAGTGCTACGCGAAGGTGTTTGCAAAAGTAAATGAAAACTAATAAAAAAAGACTATATATAGATTTGAATAAAGCAAAGCATGTTAATGTGGAAAGAAACGGTGAAGTGGAATTCGAAATATTACATTTGGTAAAGAAATAAAAAAGGGAAGATCGTAGTGAAACAAATTACGCAAAAAATATCTACGACCTTTTTTTTTACTTGAGGACCTCTTTATAGACCACATTTGTGGTTCTCCCCTTAGGTGCTAGGATCACCAGGCTGTGGATGAGCTCACCCGGGCCACGTAAAACTGTCCATGTGAAAAACAGTCCTCACTTAGGTCAATCCCTGCTAACTTCAGCGACTGACCCTGGAACTTGTTGATGGTCAAAGCAAAACTGACCTTGAGGGGGAACTGCAGCCTTTTGAAATGCAAAGGATACTCTGATGGTATGAGTGGTATGCGTGGTATAAGCACCGAATCTCTTCGAGCACAGCCGGTGAACACTGTGGCCTCGATAACATTCCGGTGGAGGACCTTTACTCGCAACCTGGTGCCATTGCAGAGTTTAGGCGGATTGAGGTTTCGCAGCAACATCACTGGAGCACGCACTTTGAGGAGAAGTTTGTGGGCTGGTAAGCCAGGAGGGTTCAGGGTGTTGAGGAACTCCACGGGGTAGTGGACCGCGTCATCCGTTTGTACCACCGAGTCCACAGACCTGTACTCCATTTCTACCCCGTCGAATGAGTTGAGTAGAGTGTCATTAATGACTCCAGCTTTGTCGTTCTTAGGGGTCAGAATGGCACGCTCGCAAAGCCAGTCCATAGGTTTCTCCTTGATGTCGGCGATATCAGGGTATATTTTGACAATAAGTTTGCTAGAGTTGTCACTACTGAGCCTAGGCCTTCAGGGATAATCACCTTTCCCTCAGACTCGGGATACTTTCCATCCCCTATTTTGAGTAGGAGTTCAGAAAATTGCCCAGCGGAGATATCGCCTCTCAAGTATACCCTCATGTTCTTTCTGAGAGAGAGTTTCTAGATAAGAGGCCATAGACGTGATGCCTTGATACATACCTTAACCTCATCAGCTCGAGTTCCCCTTGGCACTACTGGCAGAGTCTGTCGGAAGTCTCCAGCCAGCAGCACGGTGACTCCCCCCATCAGTCCATCGTTGCCTCTAATGTCTTTAAGGGTTGTGCTCAGTGCCTCAAATCCTCTTTTATGTGACATGGTGCTCTCATCCCAAACAATAAGCTGACAGTCCCGCAGCACTTGGACCATGTTGCTTTGTTTTGAAATGTTGCACAGGGGTGTTTCTACATTCATGAGATTGAGGGGCAGCTTAAAAGCAGCGTGAGCGGTCTTACCTCCCTCCAACAGCGTAGCAGCGATGCCAGAGGATGCAACAGCCAAGACGATGCCACGATCACTCCTTACCTTCGCCAGGAGTAAGTTGATGAGAAAGGTCTTCCCAGTACCCCCAAGAGCATCCAGGAAAAAGGCGTGACCAGCACCTGACTCAACGCTGCTAAGGCCCTGCCGATAGACAGCGAGTTGCTCATCTGTCAGCAAACCCTCGTTATTCGACAGCGCTTGTGCCAAAGCGTTTATGTCGTAGTTGGTCTCTCTCAGATAGTCTCGGTTCCCCAAATCTCCTCCAGACCTTTTGGCTGAGGCAGGCCGTACTGGTGCAACCTTTATCCTCCCAAAACCAACACTGCGTCCTCAATCAGCACTAGGCATCTGTTGCACACCTCGTCCATCACCTGCTGCGCACTGCCTTGCAACTCTCTCTCCACCTGTCACATAATGTCCTCTGAGAGGCTGTCTTTGTACTTTTTCCAAAGGTTCAGAGGATCGGAAAGTTGACAAAACGCCAACATCACTGTAAAGAGCTCTCGCAGCTTGAAGGGGAATCACACAAGGCAGCTTCCTCCAAGGTAGTGTCCTAGTGCTTGTCATCTTCCAGCAAACCTAATGCTTTGCATGTAGACTGGAATATGGAGCGGAGGACACCATTCGCAGTCTTCAGATCTGAAAAGGATGTTGGACCTCTAATCTCATGTAGCAGCAAGCAAAGATAATAACACTCGGTGTCGTTTGGATGGATCGTGTACACTCTTCCCAGCGCATGGTCCTTCTTTATTCCTGGCCAGCCAACGACATCCATCCCCCGCTTTCTTCTCTCGAACTTGTTATTTTTTCACACGTAGTAAGAAGGGACCTCGGAATATAGAAGGGTTTGTGCAAAGTCGTCAGTTTTGCATAGCTCGAAGAAAGCCAAGAGTGTTGTCTGAGGTGGGTTGCTGAGCCTCTCAGCCAAGTTCTTGGAGTTGAAGTGCACACGTTGACCATTCTCGAGGTGAACAGCAAGATGGAACACAGTGGGGTACCTCTCATGAATGGGGAATGCTAAGATTCTCCGAACCGCTTCTGAGCTGCTGATATATCGCCCACTCTCGTACAACTTCACCTCATCCCTCTCACTTTCCACGACAAAAGCCGCCTGGTCACTGCCCTTGTTCACGTACTTGCAAATGTACTTGATGGACTTGACAGAGTTGCATAATTCCACATTGACATGAACATTGAAAATACGTAACAGGACAGGGTTGTATGGCACCACCCAGCAGTTGTCCAGCTCTATCTCATTGATTTTTACGGGGGAGGCCACCATCAGCTGGAGATCTCCTCCGATATTGCGGGTATCCATCGTCTCCTGTCTGAGTGTCCTTGAGAAACAGCCGGGAGTACCTCTTGCTACAGCTGCCTCCTTTCGTGCAGGGCGAATGGTGGTTTAAGCCCCCGCAGGGACCATGAATCATGTTGGCCTTGACGATGTTCTGGAGAAGAGAATCTTGCACGGGGTCAAGTATTTCGGCACAGATGACTTTGTCGATCATGTCAAGGAAGATACGCTGCTCTAGCCACAGCAAGATGTGGATGTGAGGCAGACGTCGCTTTTGCCACTCCACTGAGTACATGAAGCATTGCACGTTTCCAAACAGACTACCCTTGTTCAAAAGAGCCATTATCTTCTTCACCTTGAGATGGAATACCCTAGCTATAATGTCGTGACGATCGTGAGATTTTTGCCCAGGCAGCAGTACAGTAATGCTTCGAAATAAGCAAGTGGTCCCTGCTTCGAAATAAGCAACTCGCTATCCCCTCTTTTTTGTTTGAAGTCGCCCGCAAAGTGAGAGGTACGAGAAATGAGTGAGAGGTCCTTGAAAGCGCGAAGCCGACGTTTAGGGTAATAAATTTCACGCTTGACTGAGCAGTGACAGCGGTTAGTAAAAGAAGGATAGAATATATATAATGCTTTCCCAGTCGGGTATATTTGCTTCGAAATAAAGCATAGTGCGAGAATAAGAGGGTATGCTATATTCTTTCCTTGTTCAAAAAATAACATCGCTGCTCGGCTGATTTGCCGCTACCTCGGATCCCTCACTCGTTTCTCGCATTCTCTATCGTCCCGTTTCGAGAACAAAGTCAAGCCGAATAGCAACCTGCTTCGAAATAAGCAACTGTTCGGTCCCGAGTCACTTGCTTATTTTGAAGCATTCCTGTACATCTGTGATATCCTTCCACTTGGGGTTACAGGTGAAGGTGAAGAACATATCGGGACGGCCATGGTAGCGGACATGTGTCATAGCGTCTTGTGTCCGCTCATGCATGTAGCGAGGTCCTCCAGTGAAGGATGACGGAAGCACCACCATTTGACCCAGCTGAGGAAGGTAAGCATCCTGCCTCCCCGCGGCGTCCCTCAGGTGAATGTAGCTGTGCTTAGCTGCGCCTGGTTGTTCCTAATGTAGTTCAGCCTTTCAGTTTCTATTTTGGCGTACATGTCAACCAAAAATTGACTAAAGAGGGAACGGAAGTACACCAAGAGATTGACTTCCCCTTGCCTAACCATGATGCGGTAGGAGTAGAAGCTCGATGCGGAGATTGTTTTTTTGAGGGGCAATTTGGTCTGGGGGTCGCGCTGAGGCAGGGCAATGGAGTACCCATCTTCGTTACGACAGAATAGACGGGACTGTAGGACATCGTACGACCGGTGGATCTCGCTGATGCCCCGCATCAATGGGAGTAAATTTGTGACCCGCATCAATCGGACCAAATTTGTGACCCGATTTGGGGGTTCACTAAACGCTTTCGTTACAAAACTGGGGCGCCAGCCACTCGCGGTGGCAATCAAAACTGAAAAGGGGAAGGGGTATACTTGGGGTCGTTACAGGGGATGGGACTCGTGGCACTTACGTCCGTACAATATTCCGTGGGGGAGTACGCTGGGAGGATTGTCTAGGCCCGGGAGATATCTCAGGGTAGGAGAAAGGGTTCTCAGGAAAGTCCGTATACGTTACACGTAGGAGGATTAGTGTAGATAGGAACGACAGGGGTTGGACAAGGGGCTTCGCAAAACGTAGAAATCTTTGAAGAATCGGAACAATACGCGGGTGTGAACGCACGCGGGCGAAGGTTGCCGTTGCCTCGAACTCACTCTTTATAATCGTAATACGAAATGGACTTACTGTACCGTGCACTCCGCACACGCCAACACACACACTTCTCGCTTCTATGAATCGCTTCTACAAAATCTCTTCACAAATCGCTTTTGACAAATCTCTATACGCTTTCTATATCGGATAGCCTAGGGCTCAATGACGGTTCGCCGTCGCTGCTGCGACGACGAGACCGTCGCGGGATGGTTTTTGGGGAGGGGATGGGACGCAACCCATTCTTATGCAGGTCCCAAAATTGCACAATTATTCGAATCCCACTTAACCCCTTCCCAAGCCTGCATGATCTTGGCCAACAATGTGAAAGAGAGAATCCTCGGAGAAGTCACCGTCGCGATCCAGATCGATGACGAAATCCATAACCTCCCCCTTCGCGCAAGCGAGTCACTGGGGTATGAGGTAGTCCTAGGAATGGATTTCATTACTCGATTTGGAGTAACCATGGACGGAGATCTAAGGACGTGGCGGACTCTTCACCCCTTTTATCTCGAATCCCTAACCCATCCCTTCCCCATGAACCCCGCTTGCGCAGGGCTCTCCGAAGCAAGTCCCGAGGAAATCTCGGGAGTTCAAACCCTGCTTGACCACCTCATTCCACCCCCATCCTCCACCTTAGGAACCACCCCTCTTGTTACCCATTCCATTGATGTTCAAGGCCACCCTCCTATCAAACAACGTCCTCGCCGCATGGCTCCCCGTGTTTTAGAGGCTGCACAAAAAGAAGTAAATTCCATGCTCCAATCAGGTATCATTGAACCCTCCTCTAGTGCTTGGTGCAGTCGTCCCGTCCTAATCCCCAAACCCAATGGCTCCTATAGATTCTGTATAGATTACTCTGACGTTAATAAAGTCACTAAAAAAGACGCCTATCCCCTTCCTAGCATGGACCGTATCCTCGATAGCCTCCGAACTGCCCGTTACATTTCCAAATTAGACCTTAGCCAAGCCTATTTCCAAGTTCGCCTTGATCCCTCCAGTAAAGAAATTACCGCTTTTGCCGTCCCCGGTAGAGGCCTTTTCCAATTGACCCATATGTCCTACGGCCTCACCAACGCCCCCGCAACGTTCCAACTTATCATGGACAAATTAATCACCCCCGATTGGGAACCGCATATTTTCGCGTACTTAGATGACGTGGTAATCGCGACCGAGACGTACGAGGAACACCTAGAATGGCTCGTGAAAGATTTAACCCGATTGAGGGAAGCAAATTTAGCAATAAACCGCGAAAAAAGCGAATTTTGTTGTTCCGAGGTTCGATACCTCGGCTTTTTAATAAATAAAGACGGCATGATAGTCGATCCTGAAAAAATAGAACCCATCCTTTCCTACCCTCCTCCCACAACCCTTAAACAACTCCGACGTTTCCTTGGAATGGTCAAATGGTATTCCCGATTTTTAAAAGATGTTTCCAAAGATCAAACTCCCCTTATCCGTCTCCTACAAAAGGATGTTGCTTGGGAATGGGGTCCCGAGCAAGAATCCGCTTTTGAAACCCTGAAAAATGCCCTCATCAAAACTCCTGTCTTGGCTCGTCCCAATTTTTACACTTCCCTTTTCCCTCCAAACCGACGCTAGCGATTACGGCTATCGGGGCAGTTCTCGTACAAACCGTAGACGGTGAAGAGCACCCGATAGCCTACGCTAGTCGTTCCCTTACCCGAGCAGAGAGAAATTACTCCGTAACAGAATGGGAGTGTCTGGCCGTCGTGTGGGCGACCCAAAAGTTCCGTCCATACATTGAAGGGTCCGAAATCATCGTGGTGACGGACCACAATAGTCTTCGGTGGCTTCACCACCTTAAGGACCCTACTCGACGATTAGCCCGGTTGGCATTGACGCTTCAATCTCCCGAATGTATGGCGACCCCATGGACGGCATGGCCGCCGTCGGTAACGATCCCGATCCATGGTACTCCAATAAACTTCGCGATGTTAGTGATTTCCTCTCCAAATATCCCGACTGGACAATTGTAGACAATAGACTTTACTACCACCACCCCAATCCCCTCCTAGATCCCATAGTCCCCGGCCTTGACGGGTGGAAATTAGTTCTCCCCCCTTCCTCCCGTTCCAAAGCCCTTTCCGACGCCCACGATCCTCCCCAATCCGGTCACCTTGGCATCGATAAAACTTATCATCGTCTGACGCAGGACTTCTATTGGCCTGGAATGTTCCAGGACGTGGTCCAATTTGTCAGACGGTGTCTCCAATGCCAACAAAGTAAAGTTCTGCAGCGGCCACCGGCGGGGTTGATGAGGGAGCGCCCCGGTGGAGGCGCCCTGGACCGTCGTGGCTGCTCATATTATGGGTCCCTTCCCTCCTAGTAAATCCCAAAATAAATATCTCCTTGTTTTCCAAGACCTCTTCACAAAATATATTGAATTAAAACCCCTCCATAAAGCTTCCGCCAAACCCATCTTTTCCGCTTTTGAGTCCCTTGTCCTCCACCGATGGGGATGCCTCAAATTCCTCCTTACAGATAACGGTACAGAATTTTGTAACAGAGACGTGATGAACAGACTAACGATGTACGGAATCAAACAAATGACAATTCCTCCCTACCATGCTCAAGCTAATCCCGTCGAAAGAGTCAATCGAACCCTCAAAACCATGATCACGACGTTTATTGGAGAAGACCACCGAAATTGGGACAGACACCTTCCTGAGTTTTATTTTGCCTATAATACCGCCGTACATTCCTCTTCCCTCGTATTCCCTGCGTTCCGCAATTTTGGTCGAAACCCCGGCCCCATCCAAAATATCTGACACGAAATTAAATCAGATTGCCTAATAGTTCCCCGAAATCCCAAAGAATGGTCCGACCGCATTTCCGTTTAACCCTTTTATATGACATCGTCCACCGAAACTTAGAAAAAGCCTCCTATCGCCAAGCGTCCTATTCCAATCGTGGGCGTCGTGACGAGCGTTACCAAGTCGGTGACCTCGTCATGAGACGCCAACGAATCCTTTCCTCCGCCGCCCACAAATTTGCATCCAAACTAGCTCCAAAATTTTCAGGTCCTTATACAATTTCCAAAATTCTCTCCCCTGTAGTATATGAACTAACAGATTCCGCCGGAAATATCATTCCAAAAGTCCACATCAAAGATCTCAAACCCTTCAGACCCCCTCCAAAATTCGATGATTCAGCTTCCGATAACCCCCTTTTGAGTCAAGATATTAATGATATT